CCGGATGATTGGGTATGACTTTTATAGGATAATCGGTCAAACCTGAGTAGAAGGATAATTTTTGAGTTTGATCCTTAAGTGGTATTGAACTATAGACCTTGTAATTGTGACCTGGGAGCACTACTACTGTGCTATTGATCCACAGGTCGATATTTTTAATTTTTCAAAAATAACTATTTGTAATATTATTTAAAGATATAAGATAAATTAACAAATTAGTGTTATTTCTAAGTTTGATAGACTATTTAAATATATAGAAAAAAATATTAGATATCTTGTAAAAACTGTAAAAGCAAATTAACAATAATCTTTGAATGAAATAAAAGAAAAATTTGATCAGTTATTAACAATTTCAATAAGTTTTTATACTATTTAATGTATTTTATATAATAAAGAATTTTATGATCAAGTTGGAAAATGAAAATCTTTAGTATTTGAAAAAAATTATAAAAAAAAATTAAAATAGTATTATACTAAAAAAAAATTGAAAATTAGAATTAAATATAGTAATTTGAATAACAAATCTTATTTTTTATATTTTAAAATGCCTTATATTATTAGGTTTGATAATATCTATATAAAAAATATAATATAATTTGTTTGATTTCAATAGTAAAATCAGAAAATAGTATGAAGATATTTTACAAGAAATAATATTAGATCTTTGATTCAAGTTTCAAGTAAAATTATAGAATTTATATATATTAAAATCTTAGAAAATAATTTTTTATCTTTTACTTATCTTTATTGATTTTCTTAATGATTAATAAACATACAGTACTAACTTAATTACAGGTTAAAAAAAAAAATTATAATCTTTTATCTTTTATTGATGAATTGATAATAATTTAGAATATATTTATCAAAATAATAATACTTCAATTTATCAGATAAAAAATAATTAAACAATAATCAAAAAATAATTTGATAACAAATATTTTATAAACACCAGATCTTAATCTAATGAAATATTTTTAAAAAAATTTTTTTGTAAACATGATTTCTATCCAAAAAATCTTATAGAATTAATGATTATTTTAGAAGAAAAATGGAATCAGATTGAATTAGAAAATTTAATAGAAAGTATATCAAGAAAAATTCAGGTTGCAATAGTTAGTAATAGAAATCCAACAAAATATTAATAGTATTAATAAAAAATTCAGACCTTTATAAACACATTAATATAAATTTTATTAAAAGTTGTTTAATAAATTCTTTAATAATAATAAAAACAAAATCAACTTTAAATTTTAAAAATTGTGATAACATAATGTGATCGAATACTTTTGGCAGGTGAGTGTACTTAACGTTTTCATACACTTCTGAAAATGAAAATAGGAATTGCAATTACGAATGAAAAAATTACCAAAAGTTCACAAGTCGTATGCCAAGAATTTATTTAAGCGTTTTTTATAATCCTTTGCAAATATTGTATATATTAAATTATTATAATCAGAGATTATACTTATATGACCTCCTACTGCTTAAGAAAAGTGACTTGATGACACCAAAACAAAATACTCGTACACAGATATTTTAACGTCTGAAACTTCCAAAATTTCTCTTCTAACAAATTTTCGAAACCAAATTTTTAAATTTATAATACCTGAACCTGTCCTCAATTAATAGTTACACTACCTCCAATCCTATGAGTGGCGCCATCCATCAACGGTGATATTACGGTAATTAATAAATGACATGGTATATATTGTCTACTTTTTCGAATGAAATAACATACTTTTAAATTTTCAAATTTAACCCATCGCAAATTTTTTCTCTAAAAAAAAAAGTCAATTTCTCTTTTGTCGTTTATATTCAGCCCCGTTATCCGGAGGTTCAGGCAGTGGCGGTGGACGTGATTGTGACTTCACGGAATTTGCAGAAGTCGGGTTTTCTGTTTTACTATATGGAGTGGGGGATGGTGAGGTGGACGAAGAAGGGGGTCTTTGAGGCTGGGATATTGGGTTGGAATTATTTTCCTTGTACCTATTTCCATCGGGATTTAGTAAATTACTATCAGAACCAAATCCCAATGAGGTCGGTTGGGAAGATCTTCGGTGTTGCGAAGAAGACATTGGCATGTGAGGAGGAGGATGTGTAGCACGATGTGGGCTAGAGTGAGCATATTGTGATGGAGATTGTGTGGAGTGTGAATTCGAAGGTGATATAGAAGCCGACTTATAAGTGTCCATGGATGATGACCTTGAAATGTTCCCACTGCTTCCCACGCTCGTTATTGGTTCGGGAGAACGATGCCGAAGGTAATTTGTGCTTGGTTGCATGTGTTGAGAGAATGGAAATTCAGGTAATATTGATAAAGGACTGGAAGTGGGAATTTTGGCGGGTGATCGATGAAGCGGTTGAGAACCAGCGAATGATGACGACGTGGTAGAACGATAATCTACCTCTGGTGGCATCCGTGATGGGTGATGAATCGATGACGTCGATTCGACTCCGGACATTGGCTGCGGAGTCGTCGACATTGTCCTTGAAGGTTGAATACCCTCTCTAGGATAATGAGAAGGGTGTTGTGTCAAGGGTAAGTGAGATGAAGGTTGATTATCGCCTTGCGAAAATTTTGCCACTTCGGCCTGTATACAATCAACTATTGTAAGGGATTTAAAATTAATAGGAGAACCAATAACTCAACTTTATTGAAAAACAGAGATATTTACTATCAAATTTTCGCTTTAAGCTTCGAGGATCATTTGCGTCTTCTATGCAACCATTCATATTATAATTAAATAAGTGAGTAAATAGATTGATATAGGAGAAAATCGGAAAATCCACAACATTTACCTTCGCGAAATATAGACGAAAGGAAATTCGCTATGTCGGTAATAACCTGAATCACGTGATACCAATTGAGTAAATGCATTCTTAAGTTTCCATAAGTGTGCAAAGGAAGGTACCTTTTCGTGTTTCGACTGTTGCATCCTACATGAGACAGTTTCCGCATAGAGCAAGCTGTAATTTTCCGACATCTGACGCACCCTGTCAATCAGTTCGGCCATTTGATTTGTTAAACTTTCTATTCTCTCATCGCGCTCGGCAGTAATTTCGGAATTCAAATTTTGTCCAGACCCAGAATTTGATAAACTTCCTTTCATATTTATTGGATTGCTGGGTGATTGATGCTTCGAATTTTTTCTCCTAATATTTTGTAGGGCAGAGATATGCCCCCTACGAAATTCTTGGTGTCTAAACTCCCATGCCTGACTTTCGCTTGACGGATTTGCGTGAAACATGTCATTAACTTAATTACATCCACCAAAGAAGGGAAAAAAATTTTTTAGGAATAAATATTTTTTATAGGTCTAATAATATGACGATTCAAGAAAATAGTACAACATACCCTTATGAAACCCGTACACTTTTTTTTACATGAATTCAAATGGACATGAGGAATAGTTAGAAATTTGAGAACGTGACGTGAGATTCATAATCAGTCCGAGAACTTACTATTTAGTTGTCTCACAAAGCTTTGCCAATTATTATGTTTGAAGTATTGTGGTAAGACGGTTTTCGAGAATTCCGTTGGATTTGACACACTGAACACGTCACCGGAAGGTGCCCATGATATTAGATGTTGAATTGATTGATCTTCTACCATACTAAAAGATTGTAAAATTATAAATTTTGAAAATCAGGATTGACATGTTTATGGAATAATCAGATAGTCACGACGCGTCCTTTCCCCGCGTTACATGATTTGACGAAACAAGGGGTTCTACTAAGACAAGGGCAAATAATTTTCTTCGGATGAATTGAATAATAAAAAACAATTTGATGTTCATCAGATAAAATTCTGTGACAAAGAATTCTAGCGAAAAATGATTTTTATAAGGATGACAGAGAAGAAAGGAGAAGATAAACAAATGAGAATGACGATTAATTTCTTACGTATACAATTTATTCACAAAAGCGGCTTGTGTCTTATGTGTAGCGGTTGTCGTCGTGCTCGTCGTCGATGCCGTCGTTGTCGTCAAATTGTTTGTCATGGTGGGTGAAACGGTTTGCAAGGCTGAGTTTGATGGTGTGTTTACTGAACTGGAAGGGGTTTGTTCATTAAACGGAGAAGTGACTAATGGAGTTGTGGCTGAAGGAGTTGGTGAGGTGGAGGTCGGAAGGGAAGAAGTAGAACCAGGAGGTTCGGATTGAGACATGTAGAATTCCCTCGAGTTGTTGATACTCGAATCTCTCGGAGTATTTTCGGTGGTAGCATTTGCGTTGCCGTTATTATTTCCTTCATGTTCCATGTTGGTTATAGCAAGTTATAACGTGAAAATGGAACAAATAAAAGGCACACAACGGAATAGATAATTGTTTGTGATCTTGAAGAAGCGCGATAAAAGTCGTAAAGAAAGTTCTAGAGTTGTATTGTGGATATGTAGATTGAGGGAGACAAGGGATGAAGACAACACAGTTGAAGAAATTATGTAAGCAGCTTTTTTTTTTGTTTGTTTTTAATTATTTTTTTTTTTTCCAGATTGTTTTTGTTTTCTGATAGCAGTTGTTACCTATGGAAAATATTAATGATAAGAATGTAATAATGCTCGATTGCCTAAATGGCAAGTAAAAGAAGTAGAACTTATAACTAACTCGGAGTCAACCTACAAAATAATGGTTATAAGTTATTAGGACCGCCAATAAGAAGTCCGAAGGACCTGAGTAAATGTGTCGTATGACAGAATATGTAGCTCAGGAGAATAGAAGACAGAGAACGATATCTAGAACTTTCATCGAATATTGAATAGCGATGGATTTTATAAGGTGATTACATGGATTATAGGATGAGAAATATAATAAACAAGAGATGTTAATTTGTGCAGGGAAAAACAATGATTTATAGGATAAATTTTTTTAGGAATAATCATCGGTTGATTCCAGAAGAAAAGACGTTTCTCAGAAGTGTAAAGAAACCTCGTGGTGTGATACTGGTTTTCGAAGTTCTGTAAGCAAGAGAACGTGAAATTTGATATTGCTCTTGCGCAATAAATTTTGATATACGTTGCACGATTTTTAGCCTGGAAGGTTTCACACAAACATTACTCTAGCTGTGTTGTATATCAAAATGTTTACGACTTCCATTTGAAGAAAGTTTCACGGTTACGTAAGATGGAATCCACCGGCGAACATCAATAGCGCCGAAAGAAGAACAATGAATAATAATGATAATATATAATGACTATGACCGTACGACAATTACATGTCACTTAACATTAATCACCGCAACCCTTTT